TAGATTTGACAGAGCGCCGTGCACACGCAATTAAGCCGGGCCCTAACACAGCGGACGCTGAAGAACATACGAGTACCGTCCCCAGTTGGAAGGAATTTACGATATGCAATAACTCAGCGCGCTCGGGCGTTACAGCGTAACTTGTGCCTCTAGTATCCTTTTGTAACCGTGTCTAAGTATGGGTTCGAGCGAGAACCCAAAACGCACGGCCAAAAACCCTCTTTCAGCGATTGCATCATTTTCTTCCGAACTGCTTCCTGCGCCTTAGTTTCTCTTAGAGGTATGTTACACCTCTTACATCGCATCTTTTAACCACCTCACAGAAAAGAGTCCAAAATGCGGCAAAATAATCGTTTTTGGCCCTGTCAAAAAGTAAAGAAAAGGAAGCGCTGGCAGGCAGTTACACGAGGGGCAGACATTTTGAAAAGGGGTCGACACCAATACGGACAAGGTTTGTCGAATTTTTTAAGCGAGGAAGGGGGAGGGCGAAGGCGTAATGCAGCAATTAATAGACAGTGCGCGTAAATAAGCGCAACAAAAGCGTTACATCACGCGACGCAGACGCGTAGACGGAAGGCACAACGGCGCGCACAGCGAGGTCTGGGTTTCGACTAGTGGTCACCAGTCGGTGCCTTTCCTAGAGCCTTCATCATACTGGTACTCATATAGTAGGGCTTCTCGGCAGATCCATCGTTGCGTTCCAAGTCCTCACCTACATAGGAGACAATAGATTCAACGAGATAAAACAAATTTGGTAAACAAATACAGTGGATAACGAGCATCCCACTTGACGAGCATTTCGGACAACGGGCGAGCTACTAGCGGACAATGCGTTTCGATTGACGAGCTTCTGCTCAGTTAACGAACTGTCAGTGCGTGTGTCTACCGTCGAGACTTTCGCCCAGGGCGTGCGTCCATGATCACCTGCACTTTCTTGTACTTGTTACGGCTGTGATCATGCCTGATCTAGGCGGCCTCAATGCCCTCACGGATAGTACGCTTCCATGCGTGGCGATTGGCGGTGGCGGATCTGGAAAGCTCCACCCAGTCCCCAGCGACAAAGACCGAAAAGGAGAGGTCCAAGCTCTGCTTCCATGACTTGATGGACGGTGTCGAACCAAGTCTTCAGTTGCCCTCCTCTTCGACACCTCCAGGTGGGCTGCGGTGCCGGAAAGAAGGCAGCATAGCAAAGCTCGTGGAGTGGACGACGGCGAACGTGCCGAAATCACCTCAGTCGCCTTTCTTGAATGGCCTGAGATATCCTCGCAATACTATCACAACGAGTGCAGACTGCTCAAGTCGAAATGAATTCAGTGAACTTAACTCGTAGGATGGCCCTCAGGCAGCGGTGGTCAAATACCCCCCAGTCTTCGCTCATCTTCAGCCCACCCCCGCAGCCAATCAGTGAACTGAGGCACTATTATTGGCTACGTTTCGCAAGACGAGTGCTTCACATGACGAGCTCAATGCCGAAACGGATTAAACTCGTTAACCGAGGTTCGAATTAAAGCATATTCTCGAGGGCAAACCCAAAGATGTTAGGACGAGGGCAGGATGAGTAAACATTTTGGGAAATGGCCTGACTAGCTAGTTGCGTAACGAGCACGTCCCTTCGATGTGATCTGAACTGAGCAACTAGACGCCCTGAACGACAGAGGCACAATAAACTTTGGA